TGAAAATGCTGTTATCATAGGATGAAGTGAGGATTTGTTCCTCAGTGTTTGGTCTCCTATGCTTATCTGTTTGCCAGATGAGTTGTCCCAGCTTTTGAGAGGGGCCGGTTGTGTTTAAGGTATGTGGAGACCAGGGAAATTATTTTACTGCTATTGTTCGTAATCATCATCATCACCATTGCATTAATAATTAATATTGATATTGTATTCAGACGTTTAAACATATTGGCACCCAATTAGCCTTTATTACAGGTGCAGTTATAACCACTTTAAACTGTTGAGTTAAATCAATAATCTTAAATGCTTTTGAATGCTTTTCATAATCTTAAATGTTTATATGCAGATTATATTGCGTTATAAAAGAAATGCTTAACTCTGAGTACACTCTGTGCCAAAGTAGACAGGCTTTTGCAGAGCGTGCTTGTGAAAGTGAAAGTTACTTTGAGGAGTTGTCTGGATGAGGTTATTTGAATAACCATGTTATTCATTATTGTCTTTTATTCATTTATATCTTTTGATCAAGCTTTTACTAGATGTTCTTGATTAAAACATTTATTCAACATATTACAGATATAGTTTCAGTTAGGTTATTATGCACATGCGAATTGGCCTCTCTTCTCATAAGACAAAGTTCATGTGAGGTTGAGACACACACACACACACACGTACACACCCACACACACACACAGTAGATAGACTCATTTATAGGTGAGAGGTTAATCATGTTTTGCTTGCAAATGCAAAATTGTCTCTGCAAAAATAACAGTTTCTTGCAGAATTTGGGCCTGATGTTCCAGACGAGAAGCGAGAGTCAGAATATTGACAGGAAGCACCTGCCATGGAGACAGTGTTCTTTTCAAACTGTGTTAAAAGTCATTGTGGTTTTGATTTGACGTATGCATGTATTGTATCTGTTTGTCGTTGAAGGGGCGTCATTAAATTTAAGCCCTAATGGTATAAAACATCTGCTTGTGCATTGTTAGTTAGAGATCGAAGAGTGGTCTCTCCACGCGTGTCATTAAAATCATTGTTTGACTTCAGCCGGCCGGATCAGTGTTGTTATTTTTTGGATTACCTCCTGTATCCCTCCTCAATATTTGAACCCTTAACAGGTACTTCAAGGTAATTAAGAAGTGAGCACATAGTTTTATACGGTTCTTTGATGATTATCACAAAGTGAACAAGGTCTCATGGTTTGATGCTTATCCCATGCCCAAGATTGACCTGGACTTTATAAGCACTGCTTGGTTGTTTATGATGCTGGATTTAACCAACGCCTACTGGCAGATTCCCTTGTCTGCACAGTCCAAAGACAAAAACTGGTGATGGCCAGAGGGGCCAATGGCGCGTTATGGCAGCCTCGCAGTCAGTCTGCCCCAGGGCAGCTGTGGGTACAACTGTAGCTTTCCTCCACCAGTGTGTGAATGTGAGCATGAATGAATAGTGGAATTGTAAACCCCTTTGAGGGTCTAAAAAGTGCTGTATAAATGCAATCTATTATTATTATTATTATTATTATTATTATTATTATTATTATTATTATCAAAAACGTCTTTCTCCACTCTTTATGGTTCGTACCAATTTGTCAAACTTCCGTTTGGCTTGTTTGAAGCCGCGGCCATTTTCCAGCACGTGGTGGAGCGACAGCTGCGTCCTCACACTGCATATGCTGTTTACTACCTGGATGATGTTGTCATTCATAGTGGTGGAGCATGTGCAGTGGTTGGTCACGGTCCCAGAGAACCTTAGGCAGGCAGGGCTGATAACCCAAAGAAGTGTATGGTTGGATGGAGGGAGGTACAGTATTTGGGTACAATTTGGAAACTGGGCATGTGCCTCCACACATGGATAAAACAGCAGCAATCACATCCTACCTGTGTCCCAACGCAAAAAAGAACATCCTGATAATAACCAATTGCAATAGTCCAGACTTGAAGTAATAAATGATATGAACGAGTTTTTCAGCATCACTCAGACAGGATATTTCTACTCTTAATAATATTGTAGAAATGGAAGAAAGTAAAGATCCATCGATTTGCTTGCTTATCCTTTTCAGGGTCGCGAGGGCACTGGAGCCAATCCCAGCAGTCATAGGCCGAGAGACAAGAGTCTTAAATACTTGCTTAAT